ATCAAAAAGATACAACTTTATTTTTAATGGACAGGTATTCTAATGATTGATATCTAATAATTACATGAATTCTCCTTGAAGAGCTTCAATACGTTGTGCCATTACATTTCGTTGAACACCATAATACTGCAAGTACATGCCCAGTGTTCTAAACTGATAGACAAGAAGTATGTTCAGGTCCACTCCCTCCCTTCCCCGGAAGTGTCACCACATCTCATCATTCTTTTCCCTTTTTCCCCCCACAAAGAAACCTTTCTGGCTTCTAACAACTTTCTAATTATGAGAGACCAAGAGCAGAAGAAATCAGAATTCAGGACAGAAGGAAGGGGAACCAGTCAGGATACACTAACACATGACCTTGCCACCAGTGATTTTACACAGCAGAGTCCCGTGAGCTGCATGTAGTGGCAGGGATCGGGGAAGGCAGCCAGCTGCATCGTGTAGGGCTCCCCCCACATGGTGCGCAAGTGCCGGGAGCTGCAGGTAAGCCCTGTACAATAGAGGCATGATGGCCTGGGTCCACTCCTCACTGCCACATGCAGCTCCCAGAACTGGCCAGAGGCATACCGCCTGCACATGGCACAAATAACCTAAGGGCCCACCACCTGCAGCTGCTGCCACCATCAGCGGTGGGCACTGTGCACCATGGGGGAAAACATATGGGGGGTTCCCTACACCCCCCTGTTCTCCCTCATCCCACAAACACCACCCACACCCTGCTCACTCCCCCCACACAAACCACTCACATATACAACCCCCTACATTGCCAACATACCCTACATCCCCCAAACACAGCCATGCCCCCTCACAAACCCCCAACCCATATCCATACCCCACCATACACACCCACCCCTCCAACTGCACTCCACATACTCCCCACAGTGTACAAGAGTAAGACTTTATTTTGAGCCGTTATGCAATCACCACCATAAACGTTACACAAATGCACATAAATCCCAACAAAAATATATTTTGAAATAAAATTAAAATACTTTATGATAGATATTTGACTTTTAGTATATGATTAGTTTTTTTTTCCAGTTCCAAGATGGCAACCCCCCTCCCCAAAGGAGTACTTCTGGGGTAAGGGGCGGGACTTCCGGTGGCAAAGGTTAGGGATTAATGGGTGGGACTTCCAGTCCAAAGATGGCAACCAGGGGGTGGGGCACCTGTCAAGGGACAGGGCTACCGTTGTGGTACTTCACGCTCACCAAAATTCATTAAGCAGTCCTTCGGCCGAAAAAATTGCCCACCCCTCCCGTAAGGGATAAACTGCCAAGTGACTAGAAATTAGCCAGCTTCAGAAGGAATTGTTCAAACAAAGATGTAAGAGTCTTAACAAAAAATAAAACCCCAAAAACAAATAATAAAATTGAGATTTTAATTAATAGTGATAATAACTTCAAACTTACGGTTGCAACAGCAGCTAACTTATCATCCTTTTATAGATACAGTATCCTGTATTACTACACACAGTGTGTAACCTTTACTTTTTCTGTAAGATAATTTTCTCAAGGTTTCAGCAATTTGGTGTACATGACCGTGACATTTTAGCAATAATTTCTCAGTGACCACCTAGAATAGAAATTGGCAACCTTTGCCCCGTGAACCAGAGTTTGCAACCTGACTTCTTGCTGTGGCCTGCAAGTCTCCACACCCTGCTATGAGTTCTAGCCACTTGCACTTAATCCTCACTGCAGATAACTAGCCCCCCTGCAGCAAGGTAAGTGCAGGTATGAGAAAGGAGCAAGGTGCCATGGAGGGGAGAAGCAGCTCAGTGCAGTTCTGCATAGCTGGACCATCCCAGGACAGGCGGGACCTCTTTGCAGTCCAGTGACCAAAGCTTGCTGACTCCTGACCTACTGGGGCTGGTGATGATGGAAAGAAAAGAAAACAACAGAATACTGCCACTTGGGTACAATATTGATTATATAGTGCTTCATTAAGGGCTCTCCTTCTGCTAAAATGCTGAATGGTAAGAGGTCTGCAGATCAGACCTTGCTCTATATGCCTTTAATTAAGAACTTTATAGAAGTTTGATACAGGTACTCTGGGGCTCAAATCAGAAAGTTTGGGAACTACAGGACTAGTGTACATGTCCAACCAAAATCTGGCAAATATTCATCTTTGGAGTGAAGTCTATATTCAGACAACAATGCTGCCTACTTTCTGAACTAGGTCACAGCAGCTATCACTTATGAGCCAGCGCAAATAAAACCTTTACCAATTCAGAAGTACAGCTATTTATGATGTACTTGTACTGTGAAATGTTACTACACAATCTCTTGGGTGGAAGACTAAATATATCCTAACTCTTCATTTAGGAGACTCTTGTTTCTAAAGTTAGAAAACTTACATGTCATGAGAGAAAGATATTGAGCCATCCCACTAACAGACGACAGGCAAATATTCAATTAATTACCAGTAAAAAACCAGCAGTTTCCCTGAAAGCAATACTACCAGAATACAGTTAACTACCCTGTGAAGAAAAAGAACTTTACCAAAAGCCTAGTTCTGTTCCTAAATTTTGAACCCAGAAGATTTAAACTTAAGATTTAAAATGTTCTTATCCGTGAAGAGTGGGTATTACTAATACTACTGCACTTAATACAATTCACACTGCTGTCTCTAAAGTGCTTTAAAAATTATATACAAGAAATTGTCCCTAGCTTATAGGTAAAAACAAGATGCAACTTGCCCTGTTATTGTTATCATTACCATAGCACATAATAGCACAAGGCATGGCCTCAGATTCTGCTGGGATAGGTTGTGCACCAAATAGCTAACGAACTAAGTAGTTAAGTCAAAGCCAAGGATAGGCTGCTTGCAGACATTTAAAACAAAACAAAACAAAAAAAACACGTTACTAGAACCAGCAGCGTGTTACTTTGACCCAGGTCTGCAGGATCTGTCAAGATCAGGTGCTTCAGCAGGGTTTTTGGTGCTTTTAGCTAAAGCTGATTCTATCAGCTGTTTGATAAAAGTGCCAAAAAAGCCCCACTAAAGTGCCTGATCTTTACAGATATTGGGTAAGCCAGGCTGAAGTAATGCACTGCCTCTTCTAGGCACGCACAAGGCTCAATGCAGAAATGCACCAAGTATAAAGTGCCATGGGGGGGGTATGTCTGCAAGCACTCCTAATTATTTGATATGCTCTCTGCTACTAGTGCACATGAACTGATTAGCAAAAATTAAACAACAGACAAATCCTATTGATTTATTTTGTTCTAGGAAAATAACATCTATGTAGTTCAGTTATTTAAATACACAAACCGAGAAGAAATAGGAAAGCCTGAGAACGGTGACAGACGGGATAGACTGTTCTGAGAAAGAAAACAGCAAAAAAAGTTCAGGAATGGAAGAGTTCAGCAATTGTGAGAATTCCCAACTTTCAGATATCGCTGTGTATTTAGCAACATTAATGAAGATTTCTGAACTGTTAAGTAATAGTTATTTTCCAGTTCAGAATTAGGCCTACAGAATAACTTGAGCAATATGTTCTACATTAATATTTTATATTATACTAGTTGAGCCTTTTGAAGCACAATATGGTATTCAAGTTTTAATTTAAGTAAACAAAAATTATGTCCACACACAGCACAACATTGGGCTGTGCACACATACATTAACTACTGCATGGCCACATCTGCACAGCACTCCAGCCAAGTTAAAAGTCAGAAGACCTAACTGGGCCATGTGGAGAGCCACATTAATGCAAGTATACCATTTATGATATCCAAACTAGGTCCACAGCCTCTCTATGATGCTGCACTGTGTCACTGAGGTATATCCTATGGCACAGTATTTTCCATTCAGGTTTCTTTACTTTTGCCTATCGGTGAGAGGAAAGGCAAACTCTAGTAATTAGTAAATAGTTTTTCTTCCAAAAAATTTACTGTATGAATTAAGTATCAGTTAATTTTATCATTCCTGGTATTACCATGTTAAACTAGGTAAGGGAAATTATTAAATTAAAATGATTTCAAAGTGACATTTAAAGAAAAAAAAAAAGCTATTGACAGTCTGAAAATTGACCTTTACTTCAAGAAGTTTAAGCACAAGTTATGCAGCTTTTCCTCAAACGTATTATTACTATGAATACAACTGGAACTGAAAAAAGGTGGGGTTATTTTCCAGTGTAAAATTCATTTGCCATGTAGAAAAAATACTTTTCATGACACAAAATACTGTATTAAAAACAAACAGGAGTTTATTTTAAAAGAGTTTCTGCCCACATGGGGGGGTGAGGCACCTGTCAATACAAATGATCACTAAAGTTTTACCCATTCAAATCAAATAGAAATCCTACTTCTATAAATTTAATGCACTTTGTCTCTGGTGTGAGAAGCACTTTCAAAAAAGTCTCCCAAGCCCTTCACAACAACATAATATGGAGAGTAGACAAGTAAGAGAAGTATGAATGCTGTACTTTCTTGGTTTTTTAATTCTGTCATTCTACCACAATCCTTCATCCACTTCCAGAGAAAATTCCCAAATAAGTACACATTTATATCTTCCAGAAATATACAATTCTAACTACTGCTAGCAGAGTCTCTGTGGTTTGCAGAAGTTTCTGAGAAGACTGCGTAGGAAAGCATAAAGACAGAATTGCTGCGTCTATACTAATTGCACAGTAATGTATCACTTGGGTGCACCAAAAACATGGTCTAAAAGCTGACATTCACATAATATGGTTTGCTTAAAGCTTTCTACAGAAACATCTACAGAAGTAGACTTTACATGAATTATTGCATTCCCCCTCTAATGATTAAATACACTTTCTTCGTATTTTTCAAAATTCCCCTCACCTTCATATTATAAACCTATGGTGAAAAACACTAATTCTGGAAGCATATTCTGAAAGACAGTTAGCTTTCACGCTCAACACTAAAATGGAAATAGAATGCTGAACTTTTGGTTGCTTTGAATAGCAACAATAGTGGACAGAAACCAAGGCTACAACAGTCATGTGTAATGACCTCATGTTCTTATCTTTGTAGGCTTTCGTATCGGACTGGGCAAGACACAGCTAACTGTGACACATGCAGGAACAGTGCATGTATTATCTATAGGTAGGTTAAAAATTATAATATTCCCAAGTTTTACTGAGTGAAAGCCATGATTTTATCCACTGATGCTGGATCAGATGGTAGCCACTATTATAGATTGTGATTTCAAAAAGCTGAAAGTAGTGCCAGAAGACCAGGCAATTAGTCTTCATTTCACTATAAAATTCCATGAATAATATATATTTAGAGATTAAAGTAGTGCACAGAACACAGGTAATCCATGAATTAGGCAGATTCTTTGCACCTTTGCTTTGCAAGTTTCACTTGTTTTTTTAAGCAACATTCTAGTATCCTCAAAGGTTTTGCATAATCTGCATCTTGAACCACCTTAAAGAACCCTCATATAGTCTTATGTCTGGATTTTTGTACAGGAAAAAGGGGGAAGGCATGCACATACTGAAACAGGTTTGATTCCACTACATATAATGAAAGGGCAGGTATCCACTTGCATTTGATTCAATCTGCACAAAAGGCTCCTTAAAAGTTCCCACAGAAAGAACTGAGGGAGTAGAGAGAACGGGATCTGTCCAGGGGATCAGATATTAATCTACCATTAATAACCACTACATCTCTGGAGCCAGGAGAGGCAGCAGTAGCAGTGTCTGTGGAGTGGTTTTTCAGAGACTCCAGGCCCCTATGAATTGCCCCCATCTGCACCCTTCAGCAGGCTGCACACTGCTGCAGAGCTCATATTCTAAACTTTTTCAGGCTTTTTCCACTGAATGTCCAGGTATAAAAGGTCCTTGCAACAGATGCAGTCAGATCACTAACACTTGCATACTGTGGTTATGCCACTATGAACACGAGTGGGGCATCTAGGCAACCACCCCAGGTGCCAATTTTGGGGAAGAGAAAGAAAACCAAAAAAAGAAACTCCCAGCTGCTGCCATAATTGGACTCATGCTGGTTGTGCCGCAGCAGCTGGAAGTCGCCACTTCCCCTGCATTTGACAGCTGCCCAGGGCATCCAGCTACCACTCGTCATACCTCTGAGTGGTAACACCTGCTCCTAAACTTCTACTGATGCAAGTCACAAGATTAAAAGCACAACAAAAGATATACCTAGTAGCAACTGTTTGAAATGCAAACTCATTTCTTAACTAAATGCTTGCCTTATTATATGAAAGTTTATCAGACTTGCCATCATGAAGGTGAGTTAATATTCCCCCCAGGCAACTAGTAAGCAAACTTTCTATAGAAAGGGATATATGAGATTTTACAAATTTCTGAACAAAAGCCACGAAATATGCATTACATATTATATAAAATGTGTTAGAGGGAAAAACACAAAAACCCTGCATTTTAATGGCTGCCACTTTAGATTTACTTCCGAGCAGAATAATTCTACACTTAATGTATCATTCATGAGTCTTTTATGTACGTATAAAGATTATTATTATTCATCATATATTTCCTAAGTTTATGATTTATTGATAAAAATAGATCATTGTATGCAATGTCACCGTCACCTCTCTGATGTCAAGCTGTATCAAGTAGTAGTAGCAGTAGGTTTCGTTTTTAAATAGCTGAGGATAACGAGCTTTTCTGTATTATGTGATCCAGCAAAGTGTTTCAGATAGCTTTATATATCAGTCATGGCTGCATGAGGATTTGTAAAGAAGCATTTGAGAGAAAACTTAGAGAACATCATAATCAGATACAGATGCACTTTTGACAGTGTTTACCTGGAAAAATGATGCTCCTCAAGCAAGACTTCTGCATGTCTAGAACCATAGCAGATAGAATACAGGATGAAAGTGTAAATGACAAATCTTGTTTGCCTAACATGAATTGTGTCACTAAATTCATTAGTATAAACTATTGACTTTTTTGTACATACATCTATGCATACTTTATGTGAACTGTCCCATCAACAAAGGTAGCTTGTCACATACATCAAGTTAAACATTTGGCTGCTTTGGTTGAGACCTGTGTGAATAAAATGAGCAGGATTTTGCCCAGAGTCACTGGATCACTTGTCAGATGGGCACTGACCAGTTGATTAAACTTAAGTGTTCTGATAAAAAAAAATCTACCGTTAATAAATACCAAGTCAGAATTTGTTACAGCAGTAATGTTTCCAAGTTCCTTACAAAGCTGGATCTGTTCCATTGCTAGAAATCAATCAGTGAGCATGAGATATAAACATACTCTTCATGTCTCTAAAAAGTAACTCCTAGGGCCCTTGAATGTTAAATTGTGTAAAATATTCTGGAATAACTGCATGCACAGCTCACTTTCTGCAGGCTATCCTATTTCTTTGCTGAAAAGATTAAAGCTAATCTATTTTATATCAAAGTGCTTCAACAGTCGATAACTGACTGAGCTATGGCATACTTTTCATCCCATGTTTTAGACTGACAACCTAATTATTCTTATCCCACTACAGTCTAGTCTAAAAAAAAAAAAAATCCTGGGTGTCTTTATATGTTTCAGGTCAGATGAACAAACAGAATGGCTTTAAATTACACTGCTGTCTAAAAAACTCCTTTTTTCTCTTGTTCGAAAAGCTTGGGAAATACTTTTGAAAATTATTTCAGATTCAAGGACCATGGTTCACAAGAATACGTACCACAAGTCCATTAATTTTATCACATTTTTTTTTACCCACCTTGCTCAGCTTTGCAGAGAAATAGGGACTTAGGAATGATGGTATCTGAAGCAGGGATGCAACAATCTATTTATTCCTCCTCCAAAGTGAGGACAGAAGAGGAGAAACAATAACTAGCTCAGCTACAGTTGTCTCTGGTCAACTCTGCAGGAAAGAAAGATACACACCATTCCTTTCCTAAGGTAGACTGCAAAATAACAATCAAACCTTACATTATTAAAAGCTCAGGTTCTGCTTCAGCTAGCTAGAAAAAATATAAGTAGAAACAAATTAAAGAGCTATGTTGATTTCCAGTAGGCTGTTCTTACAGCACAGTTCTTCAGCTGCATAAAGAACTGCTGAAAACCAAATTACAGATGGTAAATGGGAAATTTCTGCCTCTTGTAGAACAGTAACAGTTTGTAGAGTATTGCAGTAATAGGATACCATATGTACTCTAATCCAGGATAAGGTTTCTTTCTCCATTCAACTTAGACAGGGGAGCCTCATCTTGGATTCAAGTACCAGCCTGAGGCAGGTACGTGCTATGGCTCCGCTTATGGCCTCAAACCAGGCCTAGGTCTGAGCCTGGGCCAACTGCTGCTGCCTGCCCTGGCAGGGCCAAAGCTGCCACCACCACTGATATTTGCCTGGGCTTGGGCCACTGTCTGGCTGGAGCCAGGGTCAGAGCTGCTGCTGCTGCTGCCGCTGCCACTGTCACTGCCCAGCCAGGGCCAGAGCCACAATGTGCTCAGTGCCTCAGACCAGAGCTGAAGCCAGAATTGCCACCAGCTACGGCAGGGGGAGCAACTGGTGGAAGAGGAAAATGGTTAAGGAGCAGGTGGGGCAATCAGTGTGGGGGAGAGGGAGGCCTGCAAGGGATATGGGTCCAACTGCCTGGTCCCTCCATCACTTATCTCCACACCGCATGCCCATCCCCACCCTCCGCCACCATTACCCCTGTTGCAGCAGTGCAGGGGAAGAATTTAAGGTGACCTTCCAATAATTAGATTCTATACATGGAAAATTATAACAAATGTATAACTTTCCATGTGTTGGGGGTTGTTTTAAACTTAAAGTAATCTTGTATTCAAGTAAATAAAGACCAGTTTAAAGCAGAGTAGTCGGCAGCCACTAGAATTGACAGCTAAAACTCCTCCTCTTCCTACTGAAAGGTTCTAGTCTTAGATAACAAACATCTGGGGCATCACAATAGATAGAGAGAAGTGTTTTTATAATAAAATGACAGGCTAATTACTCTTAAGTGGACTCAACATAAAAAGGCTTATCCAGCCCCATTGCAATAAATGCCAGCCATACCACTGACCTCAGTGGGAGAAGGTGGGTCAGGTCCATATTTTGTACCGAATTTGCAAGTGTGGACTTGCAAACCTACCTTAAGTATCCTAAATCCCTGTAATACAGGAAACTAACATTCTACCACTGAAGTCAGCAAGTTGCAGGTTGTCCCTTTCACTTTTAAGCTATTAAATTGATAACTAAAACTAATACTGAAATTTATGTTAAAAACATTTCACCACATTTGACACTAGCAGCACTATAGTTAAAGTGGCTCAATACTTTCCATTACAGTGGTTCCTTGTAAACTGAAAAATTCAGCCAAAACATCTCCAATTTGGCAATGCTGGGCATCTAACACAAGGTAAATTTTAATGAAAAAAACAAGCTCATCCCCCTTTACAGAACCAGACTAAGTAAAAATATGTTAAGGGCAGGACAACGGGACCAGGGATCTTGCTCAGAACCACAAGGCAAGAAGCAGGCTGGAAGGCTAAGAACAGATCAATACCTTGGAGGAAGCAAAGGAAATTTATGAAAAGAGGAGACCAAAGCAACATACCTTGTTTACAAAAATGTAAGGCTGACCTTAGGGTTTTCTGCTCTCCCAGACTATTAAAATAAGTGACATTGAAATCTCTAAAAACAGGAGAAAAGCTAAGGTGCTTGCTAACACAACATTAATTCTGCCTTCTCTGAGTGATGAGCTGATGCATGAACACATCATATAGGCAAACACACTCTCCATATAGTACAGACTTGTCCAACTTCTTAGTGGATGGGGCTGCACTAGAAACCAGAGTCCTACTGCAACGGACATACAGGAGGGTGGGCAGGCCCCCCTCACCTCCTTGGCCATGTGCTTCCCCACTGCACCAAGTCACGGTTTCCACTAGCACTGCAGACTGGGCTGAGCCATGTTGCCTTGCCCTTCCTTGGGGTGAGGCCAAGAAGTAAAAGCCATTGAAGGGATGGGAAACCTAGAGACCCCAGCTACAGCAGCAGCTGGAGCAATGAGGGAACAGTGATCAGGGAATGCAGGGGGCCCACAGATTAACCCCTCACATGCCACATGTAGCCTCCTGTTAAATAGCCCTTATATAGTGCATGACAAC